GTGTTTCATGGCCATTGCCTTGAAACTCTCCCAAAGCTCCCTGAAGCAGCCCAGCAATCCTTGTTGTCAAGGGCCCTTCTACATTAAACCCTGAATCCTGAATCCCAAACCAGAAGCTACTCCCTAAACCCTAAACCCTAAACCCTAAACTACTCCAGGCGTTCCATCTAGCCTTGTCATGCCTTAGCAGCGCTCAGTAGCTGCAGCCTTTCCCTCCAACAAGATTTCATACCCTAAGTCGGTTTAGCGCTTAGGTTTTAGAGTTTAGGGTTATAATCCACCTTACGTAGATAGAATATGGCGTTGGATATAGTACAACAAGATACCTACCCCATATTCTATCTACTTAAGGGAGACTATAGGGTTTAGGATTAGTTTGGGAGCATCCTGAGACCTCTCCCCTGAACACTTGAGCGCTCACTTAGCTTCTCAAACTCTTAACGACTGAGCCCCAGAAGCCGACTCCACAAACACTAAACCCTTATTCGGGTGGTACCTTAAAGGACGTCAAATCTATTTATAAAGGGGCCCGTGTACCATATTTGGGGATATGACTAATCATCCCCAAGTGCCACCTCCTAGTCATCCCCCAACCCTCAGTTGAGCACAAGCACAAAATCCCCAATGCTACTCAAACCCCAAATGCACAAAGCCATTGTTGGTAAAACTGACACGGTATACGGGAAGTCCATGATCTCTCACGAGGTCATCTTCCATTTGCAAATTTGCAAAACTTGGGGTACACCTTATAAGCCCCAATGCTGTAATCCCTATTGATGCCTTAATCCATCTTTCGGAATCTCTAAACCCTGGACTCCAGAGCCATGTGTCCAACAATATTCTTCTCCACATATACCTCTACATCCAGGACACCCCCCATTAACTGGGTTTGCGGCTTTAGGGTTTGGAATTTGGGGATCCCTGACATCCCCATCAACTGGACATTTAAGACCCAAGGCAGGATCCTTATCCTCTCGGCATCGAAGCTCTTTTTCCACTCTGCCATGGCTCTTGTCCGGCATTGCCGGAGTCTGCAGAGCTCTAAAGCTTAAACCCCAAACCCCAAAGCCCAAACCCCAAACCCCCATACTGCAAAATTTGAAGCCTAAACGTCAAAGCCCCAAGCCCGATACCCTAGACTTTGAAACCTAAACCCTAAACTTTGAGCCCTAAAACCCAAAAAAAAGCCTGGTAAGGCAAGATCTAAAACAAGTGGATCACAGTTTGGACGAAAGAATCGTCATTCCCCTACCACAATCAAGTTCGAATTCCTGAAAAGAACCTCAACCGTACCTCTGCGCCCCACCACCACCACCCGAGCCTAAACCTCAAACCCCCCCAAAAAAGTACGTATGGTTCCTGCTCGAAGCAAAGGACCCCGGATTGTCAGAAACTCCACGATACCCCTACCAAACCCTTCTCTAAGTCGCGGCCGCCTTTGGAGACAACCGCCAGATTCTTGCGGCTTTAAAGAGAGGGGCTTGGTTACCCTAACCCCCCCGCGAATGAGGACCCTATGACCGCTATATGAACCTGATAGTGTGTTACTTATGGGGGCTTGGACTATGGTTGGCATAGCCTACCAAGCCTACCCCGTGCTGTCTTGATGCCAAGGTTACCTGACCTGGTGTGGTCCTTAAAGCTACACCCCAATACACTACAGTCTTGATTATGGACATGCCCAAAACGGAGCCCGATTATAAAAACCCCCCAGCTGTGTAGAAACGCTAATCTCGACAAAGGCGTTCTTGTGGCGATTGTCTCCCTGCCCCAAGCAGCCGTGATTCTGGAGCGAAAAAACTTTGTACATGCGAGGAAGCGCTCCTTACGTTTCTTATAGTATAGGCTGCCGCCTATAGGCTCTAACATGATTTTGGCATTTGTGTAGGCTTCTACATTGCTCTACACAGACACCTGCTAAGCCCAAATTGAGGTACCCACAGAGGACCACACCCCCGGTCGAACTTGAAAACCCTCACATGAACTATAGTCTAAACTCCTAGTCTCCCCCTTAATAATCCCTGTAATACTCCCCTATACAGTCCCCTAGATAACCCCTTTAAGAAGTCTAGACTATAGCTCACATAGGGTTTAGGGTTTAGTCGAGCTTGAAAACCCATACATTTCTGGCAGCGCCCCGCTTCCAGAAGGAGCGCGCAAGGTGCGGAGACAATCCGGGAAGGAGCGGAGTGTCTCCCACCCGGATCCACGTAGTCCCTTATGGCTAAGGGTTTAGTAGGGATCCAGACCTATCAATAACTTCTCCAAATCTAGGGTGCCTTTTGATAGCCTTTTTATAGGTCCTCTAAATCCAGTAGCCCTGGGCTGGGATACAACTATAGTTGCCAAGCAGGTCCAAGTACTGCAGGTCCTCTCTCATATGTACATATACATATACATATACATGTATATCCATGTCAGCCCTGACTTCGAGGAGCCAATGGACAATGCCTCACTCAATCATTGCTTCTAGCTCCTTCTCAGACAGCGCAGTTGGCGGAGCACCTGCCCAGACTTTCAGTTCAAGGCTTGGCATTATAGGGTTTAGGGTTCAGGGGTTTATATTAGGGTTTTGGGGGCCCATGGATGACAAACTCGTCATGATGTAGCGCTCTCGTGACGAGGATTCCGTCACAACAGCCGTCATCATCATGACTACTACAGGGGCCTAAATGATTACCAACATCATGTTGAGGTCCATTTGAGGTACCATAGACCATAATTATCATATGAACCCATAATATTGGTAATTATTTAGGCCCCTATATTACCCCTCGTTGTTGAGCTTCTTGTGCATGTTGGAAGGGCTCTTTTGTAAAACCGAGTGCTATCGTGAAGCAAGCATCTGGGGCCTTGGGATGTAGGGTGGCCATTAGAAAGCTCCACTCTCATCATCAGCCTTATAACTTGGGTCCTGCCCCCACCCATTCACAGCCTATAATAGGGGTCAATATGAAGGGCTCTATATAAGTCTATTACTTATGACAATCTAGATTGTCTGGAAAAATAGGTCCTAGGTACTCAAGTCTATAAATGACACCTTCCTAGGGTTTTAAACTCTACAACAATACCCTAGGGTAACATTGGTGCTATACCCAAAACACCGGATCTTGTACACCGTAGTTAGTCTCTACAAAGAAGGGATTCCCTGCCCAGCAAGCCGACCCCTCAACTTAATACTCCCTTCATACTACTAATCCAAACTCCCTAAAAGGGGAGAATCTGAGGGAACAGAGGGGAATGGAAAAGCAATGAAAACAACGTATTACTTAGGGTTTAGGGTGTAGGGTTGAGATAAAACACCCCCCCCACCCCAAAGCCTATACATGTCTCACTATATCTAATAAAGCCTCTTGTGCAGGGGTGGGGGGCGAGATTGAGACTAGTATGAAGGGATTGCATGCCTGTCATCTCAAGAATCGAATATTGGAGTCTGTTTGGCCCTATGGACAATCCCGGAAACCTATACGGGAGGAGTTGGGGCAGTATGAAATGAAATAGGGGATGAGCTGATACAGAAACAGTTCCCTACTTAATATTAAGGCGGTGGGGAGGTTAAATATTAGGGGGAGGGGGTTACTCCCCACGGCTGCCCGAGACTACCTCTCATCTTGCCAGATGATTTCTTGGTCCACATTACCCTAGGGAGAAAAAAGGATCCTTTTTTCCTAAATATAAGGAATCCCATACCCCAAAAAGTAAAAAGGATCCCTAACATTGATCCAGATTTTTGCTGCTCGAGGGCGCCCCTAGGTTGATGCTGTAACTGTATAATGCGCTGGTGACCACACGTCGTTGCTGACTGTAAGGTACGTTCTATGAACAAGATTCAACTGCAGCCGTGTTTCCAGGTTGCGCATGATGAGACGAGTATATTGGGGTTATATTGGGGGTATAGTAGCTTTAGGTTTAGGGTTTTATAGGGGTTATATTACCCCAATAATGGAAAATCACATGAGCTATAGTCTAAACTCCTAGTATCCCCCTTAATAACCCCTTTGGTAATCCTCTATAGAATCCCCTATATAACCCCCCTTTAAGGAGTTTAGACTATGGCTCGCATGGAAAATGAAATGGAAACTGGGATTAAAGGGTGGTTTGTCCTGTGGGCCAAGCCAAAAGACCTGCCCTGAACACTGGAGTTTAGGGTTTAGGGTTTAGGGTTTAGGGGCTGATGCCTCCTGCTGCCAATCCCTACTGGGCAGAAAGCCTGAGCCTGGAAGACCTTTGCTCGTTTGAGTTGCTAGATGTAACAACCTTAGTTCATGGGTGCCTAGTGCGGGAATAACTCACCCACCAACAAGCCGCCTCCATCAGGATCCTGCACCATTCAAAAGTCACAAATGGGTTAAGTGGCTTCACAGCAATGTGCTTGCAAGACTCATTTGTCCCCTCTTTCCGTACCTGAGCTGTACATCAGGTCATCAGACCAACTGAGGAACTCTGCGACCTCAGTTTGGCCTTGGACGTGGGGCAACATGCAACGCCTGAAGCAGCAGGCCCAGGCAAGACCATCAATACTTGGAAACCCTTTGCAAGTCATCTCACGCCCATAGAAGAATCAGGATTCGGAAGCCATTGCAGGGTGAACATTTGCCAGGGGTGGCTTCATTGGGGTGAGTGCTGACCTTGCGCTAAGCCCTAGCATCGGAATGCTGGCCGATGTTTGACGGGTCCCGTGCCCACTGCCTCGGAGCAGCAGCTATCTTGCAAGATGGCTACAGCACTGAGCCCTTTACAAACAAAGCGTTGCACGCATCCAACACAAACTGCACAGCTTTGGAAGCGCACCGCTTCTAGGCACGGGCCGAGAAAAGTAAGCCGGTAAATCCACTACTGCCATCAACGCATGCTTACCTGCAATAGTTGGTCGACACAGCGAACAGTGCTCTCAGCGCGTTTCAAGTCAGGACTACCTTACAGGACTGATTAGCAATACTCATAGCATTCTTACAACAAGCACGGTCTCAGAAGTCATCATGCCTCCCTTCCGACAACTGCTAGACGTTGTCACAGATAGGTTCTGTCTGGTCTTTCTCTGCCACTTTGCACTTCTTCCGGTGAAGCTCGAAGAGAACATTGCTGGCGAATCGGCGCTTGCACTTGCATTCCAATGGGGGTGGCTCAGCTTCTTGGACTTCATGTGTCTCTGCAGCAGGCAGAGTTACCCACCTGCTTTGTTGCTCCCTGGCGGCTGGGTCTGCTGGCTGCGAAGCTGTAAACAGCAGCCAAGCACGGCGTGGAATGTCTCCATCATCCCAACGCTGTAGGTGCTGGCGCCAGCTTCTGGGTACTGCTGAGGCACCATAAATTGCACCTGCAATTTGCCCTGTTACAGCAGCTACCGTATCTGCATCACCGCACAAGTTGGCGGCATGGAGCAGTGCAGATTCCAAGCTGTCCGTCACATGCACGCAATGCAGAGCCATGGCCAAGCAGTCCATTGCATAGCTACCCGCATATCCTGGATCTGCCTTGGCACGCTTGGGTGAGTATCTGTAGCTGCTCCTTCGCCATCGCCAGTCCCTGTCGGCGAGGTCCGCCTCTGCATTGTCTGTGCAGCGTTCCTCTTGCTGTGACTGCGCTAGACATTTGGTTGAATAGAATCGTGCTGGGAAGTCGTCGAGATTCTGTAACACTCGTTTGCCAGAGCCAGACACAATGGCATTGACACATATCCAGGTCAGAAGACGTGCGCAGTCGGCTGCCTCGTCACCCTGGTGTGTAGTTTTCGACTGCCGCCATGCAGCTTCCATGGCTACATCAATGTCACGATGGTACAAGATCGGCACAGGTGCATTGCGCATTATTGAGCCGTTGCCGCTAGAGTGGATGGTGCCCGTCTTTGTGTAGTCTGCTGCGTCCTTCCTGAACTCTTGCAGTGATTCACCCACGATACCGCCGCATCCAATGGAGGCACGGCTGCCCCAAAGACGTGCGCGGTCTGCATCCAATCGAAAAGCATTGTTGTACCCCAGTCGCCACCACGCCAGAAATCTCAGGCGAAGATCTCTGGGGTGCAAGCCGTTGTGTGCCAACAATGAGTCTGCCAAACACAGTGCCATAGCTGTGTCATCAGTCCACTGGCCCATTTGCAACAAAAAACGATTGGTCTCTCGCATCTCTGACTTATCCTGCCAAAGCGCCTCGTCAAAGCCTGCAGGCGGTGAGCACTTGGCATGCGGACTACGGGAGTATGTAGGCGTATCTTGGGGGTAAAAAAATCCAGTATAATAGGGCATATTGAAGTATACTGGGGTAGACCGGGGTTATATTGGGGGTATGCTGGGGTATACTCTAGTACAATAGGCCTGCAGGAGGTGAATACTTGGCATAGTCCGGATCGCCCTTGTAGCGCACTGGATGGAACTCCAGAGGAGCACCAAGGGCATCGCCCATGGCCAAACCCACAAGGCATCCGACCGCGCGGTCTGCATCAGCTGCAAGTCCTGTTGCTGGTGATCAGTAGGGAATAAGGAAATCGAATCCCTTTTATAATCCCAACATAATATATAATCCCTACATAATCCCTATATATGTAATCTATAGTTTGTGGCAGAAGCGATG